AAAAAAAAAAGATTATAGTTGCAAGATTAATTCAAACATGCAAGAAAGTTTGCAACAATAACTTGAGACGAATAGTGATTTCATCATGAACAATGATTAAAGCTCATAAGAAATATAAAATTGAAATAACAAGTGTTTGACCGACAAGCCTATATAATAACTATGAATATACTACAATTAATAAAGATCAATGCCCTAACTATGAATGATACATTTATCTTCTAATAAAAAATAATCACTTACCTCGAGACGATAATCACAAGACTTCTACAAGTTCGACTGAACTCTACACAAATTAGAAAAAATTGAGATATAAAGTATTAATCAAATAATTTTTATTTATTTATTAAATTAAGTGTCACATAATCATCAATTATTAGTACTATTATTCTTGTTATTAATTTATCATTATTGTTATAATATTTTTAAAAGAAGGAAATTATGAATGTTGACCTACTAACATACTTAAAATAATATTTATTTTATTTTAGTTTGATGAGGAAAAAATTAATTTTAAAATAAATTTTATAACCTAATAAACAACACAAAAGCATCTTTTAGGGTCTGTTTGGGGCAGCTGCAGCTTATTGAATAACCTGCTGATAAGCTGATTTAAAATAATCTGCTGATAAGTTAGGTGCGATAGCTATTACAAATTTTTATTTTTTTGGAAAAACTAGACCGCTGCAAGAAAGCTGCCACCGCACCTAGATAGGTGCTATGTGAAAATGCTGCTTTCACCATTTTCAAAATGCATAAGCTGTCAAAACGCAGTTCACCCAAACAGTCCATATGCGTTTTCAAAATACCACCGCGCCAAATAAGCTTCCTCAACGAACTCTTAATCACACACTTCTTAAATCTCAGTTCTTTTCTGTTTTGTATTAAAATTCTGATTCAGTAAATCTTTTAAGGAGATGAATTTACGGGATTTAGCAGCAAAAACACGTGAGAGAGAGGAAGTCGAGGCTACCTTCCTCGATGGTTTAGGGTAGAAGCGGGTGGAAGGAAGTTTTGATGTTCTTTGGGAGCTACGATCTTGTTGTTGCCTTCACTACTAACTCCAGGCCTAGTTGTATCACAGGGGCTTGACGCACGGGAGTAGGAGGAAGGAGCGGATGTTAAAGGTTTCGTTAGAGAGCTACTGGAGGGGGTGAGGTGGGGCGAGTGCGATGCCTCCGTGCTTTCTTATAGCGCAGTGCTGCCGTGGTTAGGTCAAATTCTGGAAAGCAACAAGGGAGAGGCGGGATGAAGAAAATGAAAGATACGATCTAGGAAAGCAGCGACGAAGAATGAAATATCACAAGGGAGGGAAAAAATGTAAGAAAAAAAAAATTCAATTCTTACAAGGTGTTCTATAGGGCTTTTGAATTAGCATGCTCCCTTGGAATCCTTTAGATAAGCAATGACTTTGTGTACCTCTTGGCTTTAGCAAGGTCTTTATCCAACACCAAGTACCCTCACAAGCTTTTAAATTAGCACACCATAATTTTCTTTCTTTTATTTTTTGTTTTTAACGTATGGATCCCATGTATGGGTGATATAAAGAGATGAGGTTCTTTTGGATATATTTTTTTTAATTCATCCTATGTATGTAGCCTTCGAAAATTAGTTGTTCTGTTAATATACCACTCGAAACCTTTCTTTGGACATTAATATGAACACCTCCTTAGGTTTGTAATATAGATATGATCTATGAGTGAACTTTGTCAGTATAAGTAATAACCATCCTGGTAGTTTTAGGGTGCTTTGGGCGAAGTGGAGTTTTTTCGTTATGTCAACAACTAATATAAACGAGTTGCCTAATTATAATAGTGTCAAGGACATTAATGTGGACGTTCTTTTGAGGCTGTAATCATAATTGCTTCTAGTCATTGCTTCTCATAGTTTGTACCAAATAGCTGAATGCTGTAATATTTGCAATGGTAGTAGTAGAGTTTGTTGTTTTAGCATTGCACTAATATACAACACATATGTAAAAGTTCAAAGCAACGCATACAAGGCATGAGATTTCTTACATGAAAAACTCGAGAAGGAGAAAAATTTTGAGAACTTAGTAGGTTGAAATGCTTCAATAGTGTGAATAAGTGATTATGAAGGGTTTCCTTCCACTAAAGATGCTAACACTATGTATTGGGCATGAACCTTTTCGATATTTTTTATGGTGATAGTTGAAGTCTGAAGGCATATGAGTTATTATCGGGTGATAGTGAATTGTTAACTTTGTCGTTCATTTGATAATAGAGGTCGTTCATTTGATAATAGAGGAGAGGAGTGATAAACGACAATGATCAACATAAAACATTGATTAGTGGCATGCTTTGGTTGACAGTCAATTGGAAAAATGAGAGGCTGTTTGACATTTGACAATCGACTTTATCATTCATTCTTTAGGAGGGGGGGATTATGAAACTAATATAAGTGTTAAATGCCCATTGTTGATATATGTTTGATGAGGATTGATAAAAGACATTGGTAATCGGGCGATAGTCGATTGTTTGGAATATTGTTCTATTGATAAGATTAGAGATTATGGTATCAGAAGACAGGTGTCAAACTTTATGTTTGGTTGGTTTCAAAGAACGATTAACTAGAAATATCTAAACTTAGGCTATCACCTTGTTGTTCGTTTGGACTTAAAAGTCATACATTATTGATATCATTGGGTTTATTCGGTTGATACACTTTTTCTCGATGGTAAATTTGTTGAAAAAAAAAATTATCTCAAAGTTAATACATGAAATTTTCTTACCAAATAATCAAGTGTTTTGAGATTTGAAATTTTTTAAAATTTTGTGTTTGATCATATGAATTTTCTAATGGTATAAATATTAAAAAATGGTGAACTTATGCGGACAATAAAAAAATCATTAATAAATAAGTTGAGCATGACTAAAATGACGGTTTTAAGATACATATATGGTAATATTAGGATTTATGGATGAAAAATAATTATATTAAAGAGATTATTTAAGTAAGATCTATTGAAAATAAGAATTTGAAAATTAGACTTTAGTGGTTTAGACATGTACGATGAAGGGCAGAATATGCAACATTAGACTACTTGGTAAAATTAATGTCAAGCGATTAGAAATGAAAATTGATAGACTTAAGGTATATGGATATAATTTATTTGAAAATATTTGCAAATAACAGGTTGAACAGCTCATGGTAACATGAGAACAAATGAAAATTGAGAATTTATACTCTTGATTCCAAATAGTTGGGTTTTGTATGATGCTAGCACTCAAACCCTTAGAAAAGTTCTGCTTCCACTCATATATTGTTATCAAAGTAATGCATTTTGTGGGTTTGTTTAGACTTAATATCGTGTTTTTGAACAGGTAAAGAGTTCATTTGATCTTAAGAAATGCGCGTTGTCTGTAGCGTTAGCAATTGAGTTGTTGGTAGGTGTTCCACAATTTGGTTGGCTTGCTTCAGCAACTCCTACAGCTCCTGTATTGCCTGATCTTTCTGTACTTATCTCTGGGCCACCAATTAAGGATCCCGGTGTTTTGTTAAGAAATGCTCTTCCCATCAACAATAAAGCCATCAGGGAAGTTCAAAAGCCACTCGAAGATATAACAGACAGCCTCAAGATTGCTGGTGTCAGAGCATTGGATTCAGTCGAGCGGGTAAGTCATGTTTATTTCTTTTGTTTGTCGGGGCTAAATACTACTTTCTTTTGTTCCTTTTTCATGGGACTATAATATATAGTTACATGTTCATTACTAATGTACAAGGTAATTCAGTTACAAATATGTCAATTGACTGCTGTGTAATTTTTCATGATAGATTGCTAAAATTACGTTCTTTGCAAAGTAAAGTGTCAAAATGGTCCGCTTACTATTCATATGCGGCCATTTTAGTCCCAAAGTCTCAAAAGAGCCAAATTAGCTCATACTCTTTTTATATGAGTTGAAATAGTCTCGAGAGATGACTATTTAATCCACCATTAATTGAATATGGAGACTAAACTGTCTCTTTTATAAACTCTGGGATTAAAGTGTATCCCTACAAAAGACTGGGGAATAGTTTGACACTTCTCTCATTCTTCACAAACCAAATGCATATATCTTTTGCTCCTCCAATTTTTCATTATTTATCTTCACGAAATTGTAATTGCTGACAAATTATGCTTTCCGAATAAGACATTGAATCACTGCTAACCAATTATTTTATATTGATGCCTATGTATGTTTATTTGTTTTTGTAAAGGATTTCAATGATTTCTGAAAAATGTTTCTCTTTCTCAAGAATAGAATGTGAGGCAGGCTTCTCGTGCGCTCAACCAGGGAAGAAATTTTATTATTGCTGGATTGGCTGAGTCGAAGAAAGCCCATGGAGAGGAACTACTAAACAAGCTCGCTATTGGCATGGAGGAACTTCAACGTGTTGTTGAGGAAAGGAACAGAGATGCGGTGGTGCCAAAGCAAAAGGAGCTGCTTAATTATGTTGGAGGGTCAGTATCTATCTTTTCTTGTTAAGAGTAGATGCAACCTTTTTTTTTTTTGGCGGACATTTACATATACTCCTCACAATTCTTATATACTTACATATCTAACACCTAAACTTTCATATTTACATACATAGCACTGTAATCTTTAATTTCACATAAAAAATACCACTTATTAACTTTTTAAATGTGAAGTATACATTTTTTCATGCATAGGTTCATGACACCGAAGTGTTATAAATGCAAATATCAAACTTTAGATGTTAGATATTTAAATGCTAAGGACTAATGTGGTATGTTTGTAAATTTCCATTTTTTTTAAGAGTTGTTTGACTCCGGGATCTTGTATGCTAACAACAATATTTATGGTGATGTTAAGGGTAAGTATCATTTTAGTTCTGTGGTTTGTGGTTGTGCTCTATGCAGATCCATAATTTAAATACCCTCCACTTCAGTCCTTTCAAGTTTTTCAGAAGGGCCATTTACATACATACCCCCCGGATCCTATGTAATTTTATATCTAACATCTAAAGTTTGTTTTTTTCATTTATGTGTCATCCAAGTCTTTTATATCACATAAAAAACACCATCATTTTAACTTTTGAAAAATGAAATGCATCTTTTTATGCATAGATAAGGTGACATATATTTTAAAAATTGAGGATTAGGTATTAGATATGTAAATTCATAGAAATTGTGTAGCATGTATGTATATAAGTTAAATCCTTGAATGCAAATAGTCTTAATTATAATCATATCAATAAATTATAAATGTATTGGCTCATGGGTCCATAAGTTGAGCTAGACATGGATTAATTTTAGCCCATTGGCTCGTTACCTATTTTTTGAATGTAGCTCGAGCTGCCTCATAAGACGGCTTGACTCCGCTTCTCCCTCACCTTGTTCCCGCTATCCGGTATCAATAACTTTTTTCTCTAAGGTTTCGAGCTTACTTTTCGGTCGCCTAGATGACATTGAGCACCCATACATGATATTGCATAGGCGGAGCTATTGTGGGGGCTATGGGACACATGTCCATACAGACCCAACCCAAAAACCTTTCACTCATTCCCCAAGTAGAAATCTTGAGCTGTCCTTTTTAACCTTCAAGCTACTCATGGTACTTTACATTATCAGAATACTCAACTATGCTATTAAGTTTAAAGAACAGTTACAATTAGTTTTATTTTGATGTGGGATTAAAGAGCATAAACCTTCTTTTGTAGGTGAACGTCACATTAAAGTTTAATTGGGGCATTTATGTAAACACGACTAAATTCCTATGTATTCATATAACTAACATGCAAATTCTATTTTTTACATGTATACCAGCCAAATCTTTCATATCACGTGAAAATATCACTATTTTAATTGTTACACTCCTTAGGCATAGATAAGTTAACATATACATTAAAATTGAAGTATATATATTGGAGGTGTAAATACATAGGAATTAAGTGTTATGCATGTAAAGTCCTAAATAATAAACATACAAGGAACGAGCTTGATCATGATTTCTATAACACACATACATATGCATCTTAACTATCATAAATAATAAATATACAACGAACGAGCTCGATCAAGGTTCATATATAACATACACACACGTAATGTAAATTTTAAACTTTTTTTATGTTTAAACTAAATTTAAATTTTATTTTATTTAAATAAAATTATATTTTTAGTTATTATTTATATTGGGTCTTAAGTCAATATCAAACTTAATCAAGCATCTTAATTAGCTTGTTAATGAGTTTTAAATAAAAATATTTTTTATTTAGTTTTTATATGGTTTATGTGATAATATAAAAAAAAAATTATTTCTTAAATTATTTTTCTACTATATATTTTTTAATTTATATTATTTTTTACTATAATTTAGATTGGTTTTTTTTAACTCGTCTTTATTTAGTGTTTTACAGTATTAATAAGACAACTAATATTTTTTATATATTTTAAAATATATGATTATTAAATAGTATTATAGATAAAAATATGTGTAGTGCATGCATTTAAATAAATTTATAAGTATTAAATATATTGTGTTTAATTTTTTCATATTATAATATCTAATGAAATGACTATACTACTGTTTTAAGTAATTTTTTTCTTTATATTTTTATCAGTATATTTTATCTATTTTACATAAATAATTGAAATTATTTTTAAAATTATAAATTTGTGTCAACTTTATAATTTTTTTCTGGCTCCGCTTTTCCATTGCTGACATTTGATCTAATATCTGATTGGTTTTAAGCCAAATGAAATTGATAAGCTTCACTAGTGTTGCCACAAGAAATCTTACTAAAGACACCTTCTATATTCGCATAATTCTCATATACATCCTTGGTCATTTACTGCAGCTGAGATTCTCCTGGGCCATTCGGTTTCTGCAGTGTTGAAGAGGATATGGTGGATGGCTTTCCATATGACGTGCCTGAGGAGTACCAAAACATGCCCCTGTTGAAAGGGCGGGCGACGGTCGACATGAAGGTGAAGGTTAAGGACAATCCCAACGTACAAGATTGTGTCTTTCGGATTGTTCTCGATGGCTACAATGCTCCAGTCACAGCGGGTAATTTCGTCGACTTGGTGCAACGTCACTTCTATGATGGAATGGAGATTCAAAGAGGTAAGATTTATAAAGATTAAATTTTTATTTGATTTCCTCTGTTATTTTTGAATGAAAACAAAAAAGAGAAAGATTTGCATATATACCACTCAATTCCTATGTATTTACTTAAACCAAATCCTCTATTTTTACATATATATGCCACCTTACTTTTGCTTGAAACGGTCTACTTCACTTTTTAAGAGTTAAAATGGTGGTATTTTTAATGCGACATGAAAGATTTGGGTGGTATAAATTTAAAAGTATAGTTGTATTATGTGGTATGTATGTAAAAATTGAGATTATACTAGATAAACATTCTTATCATTTTGAGTATAATCTTATGTATTCACATAACTCACACCTAAGCTTTCATATTTACTAATGAAAATGTGTTATTCACTTTTAAAATGTGGTAATGGTACTATTTTTTATGTGATATTAAAGATTTGAGGGCTATGTGTGTAAATATGAAAGTTTAGGTGTGAGATGCATAAATACATAAAAATTGTGTGCTATGTATGTAAATGCCCCAAAAACAAAATATTCTGGTGAATGAAATGTTTGTTTTTGTAGCTGATGGTTTTGTAGTTCAGACTGGAGATCCTGAAGGCCCAGCTGAAGGTTTTATAGATCCAAGCACAGGAAAAGTTAGAACAATTCCTTTGGAAATTATGGTAACTGGTGATAAAGCGCCTGTGTATGGTGCTACTTTGGAAGTAAGTTTTCGTTTTTTTTCTTGTTTTTCAAGTCTTTTTTGCACTAATTTTTTAGTAAGATTTACATACATACCCTCAATTCTTAAGTTCTTACATAGCTAACTCCAAAACTTCAGTTTTTACATATGTGCACCTTACCTATACATGAAAAAGTGTATTTCACTTTTGAAAAGTTAAAATAGTGGTATTTCTTATGTGATGTGAAAGATTTGGGTGTTATATATGTAAAATGTAAAACTTAGGTTATAGATATGTAAATACATATGAATTGGGTGTTATATATGTAATTGCCCTTCTTTTCTAACAGCCTCATAGTTGAATTTTTTATCTAAAACATAAAAGCTTATATTCATTTTTTTGTCTTCATCAAACACTGCTTCAATCATGTTTAATATACCACGCAATTCTTATGTTTTTACATATTTAATTCCTAAACTTCAATTTTTACGTATGTGCCACCTTACTTATACATGAAAATGTGTATTTCACTTTTGAAAAGTTTAAATAGTGTTATTTTTTTGAAAAGGATTTGCATGATATGAATGTAAAAACTAAAGATTAGGTGATGGATATGCAAATGCATATGAATTGGTTGGTCTGTATCTAAATGCCCCTTCTTTCTAACAGGCTTGTCGTTGAATTTTTTATCAAAGCTTATTTTCAATTTTTTTTTATCTTCATTAAACGCTGCTTCAATCATCTCTCTAATATAATCATTCTTTAATTTAATTATTTTAATTTTTGTCATTCATTCATCATAATTTTTCTTTTCAACAATGCTCAAGCTTGCTATCAATAACTTTTTTATTGCAAAAAGATCAATTTCATGCAACATAGCGGGCCTAATTGCAAACTTAAAAAAACTGACCTTTTGTAGCTTCAAATTTTTTCTTTAAGATTTGCCTGCATACCCCTTAATTCCTATGTTTTTTCATATGTAACACCTAAACTTCAATTCTTACGTATTTGCTGCCACATTTGTGTATGAAAAGGTGTATTTTACTTTTTTAAAGTTAAAATAGTGATATTTCTCATGTGATATGAAAGATTTGGGATTTTGGGTGGTATAAATGTAAAAAAGTAAAGTTTAGGTATCAAATATGTAAATACATAAGAATTGGTTGGTATTTATGTAAAATATTTGAAAATTTATTTACCTAATTTTCTAATTCAAGTTCTTACAAATGCGCAGGAACTTGGCCTTTATAAAGCTCAAACAATGCTTCCTTTCAATGCATTTGGGACAATGGCAATGGCTAGAGATGTAAGTTCTTTGAATGAATTCCTCCCCTTTAGATGCCAATATTTGTTATTTAATGAGCAAATTACCAAAATTATCCCTATATTCTTATGAAATTGCATTTTAGTTCTAAATTTGGTTATTTTCATTTTATTCCCTCAACTCATATAGTTTAATCAATTTAATGTTATTATCATTTTTTACCTTTTCTTTTGACCAAGTTTTTATTCAAATATCAACAAAGTTAATAATTGCAATGAAGGACATAATAATTCTTATGGACTTTCACATCTAACATCAAAATTTTAATATTCATACTACACCATGCTATGGTGTTCTATAACATATTATGCTCTGCTATTATATATTAGGGGCATTTGCTTGCATTCCATACAATTCTTATGTATTTACATGTCCAACACCTAAACATTCATATTTATATGCATGCCCCTCAAATCCTTAACATCGGATAAAAAATACCACCATTACTACCTTTTTTAAATTTGAAATACATCTTTTCTTGCATAAGTTTATGACACCAAGGTGTCATAAGTGTAAACATCAAACTTTGTGTGTTAGATATGTAAATACATAAGTATTGGTGATATGTTTGTAAATTTTCCTATATATTATGTTACATTATACTGCATAATTAATCACTTAGTAGACAAAAATAAATCCCTCAATTCAGATAAAAGAAGAAACATCTTTTATGTTTTTTACACATAACCCCAGCTTTTTGGCTGGAAACATTCGATAAGCTTAGAAACCATTCATTATTTAGGAAGATTTACAAGCATACCACACAAGTCCTATGTGTTTACACATCCACCAATTATAAGCTTCAATTTTTTACATACATGTCATCTTACCTATGCATGAAAAGGCTTATTTCACTTCTTAAAAGTTCAAATGATGGTATTTTTTTTGTCATATGAAATATTTGGGCGGTATAAATGTAAAAAAAGTAAAGTTTAAATATTAGATATGTTTAAATACATAGGAATTGGGTGGGTATATATGTAAATGTCCCAAATTTTTATTTCCTTCTCATAATGAAAAGCTGATTGAATCTTTTTCCTGGCCATATTTCTTCCCCACGGGAATTTGAGAACAATTCAGCTTCAAGCCACTCAATTCTTATGTATTTACATATCTATATACCATCTAAACTTTCACTTTTTTACATATGTTATCAATGGTGGTATTTTTTATGCAATGTGAAAGATTTGGGTGTACAAATGTAATAAGTATAGATGTTAGATGTGTAAAAACATAGAAGTAAATGCCCCCTAATATTCATTTCTTCTCCACAGGAATTTGAGAACAATTCAGCTTCCAGCCAAGTGTTTTGGCTGCTGAAAGAGAGTGAACTGACTCCAAGCAATGCAAACATTCTGGATGGCAGATATGCAGTTTTTGGTTATGTGACAGAGAACGAGGACTTTCTTGCCGATCTAAAGGTCGGCGATGTCGTCGAATCGATTCACGTTGTTTCTGGACTCGAAAATCTCATCAATCCGAGCTATAAGATTGCAGGATAGTGATTTAATCTTTTATTTTTTATTTTTATTTGGTTATAGACACAATTTTTTGTCATTATTGCACTGCTCTGTTATGTCATGTAATTTCATGTTTTTTCAGCGTAGAGTGGATTCCTTCTTCATGACAATTGCAGTTGGGGGGTTTTTTACATACACAGCACACAAAACATTGTTATTTACATATCTTACGCACCGAACTTCAATATTACGAAACTCGCACACAAAACCAACTTCGGTTCGACCTGTTGCCTTCCCAGCTATTTCAAACTCCTGCAGGGCTGCTCAAAAGTTTGTAGTTGGCAGGGTTAACAGAAGTCAATTTTGCCTGCGAGTTTTACAATATTAAAATTTGCGATATGAGATATGTAAATAATAATGTTTTATGTGCCATGCATGTAAATATCCCTTGAAATTATTGTTGCAGTTATGTGCTATGTTGTAGAAAATTTGTATTGATTTGTTTTGTTTGAACTACAAAACTACTCATTTACGCGTGCCATGGTCAAATGCCGGAGAATTTGATAAAAATGAAAAATATGGATTGGGGTTTATTCGTTGATTGTGATGTTTGAATGAGAATTTGAGAAATGATGAAAGAGTTAGATTTGTAAATATTAATGTTTTGAGTGTTGTGAATGTAATTGTATCAGAGGTAATGATGACACTTGAAGTACTTGCGGGTTGGGAGGGGTTTAGGTGCACTGGCGGCCTTCACATTTTCTCTGCTCTATATGAGTTTCTCTTTTAGCAGGGTTGGCTTTTTTTTATTAATTTGTTTTTATTTTTTCTTTAGCGGGATTGGCTTGGTTTCTTTGTTGGGTGTACTCTTGTTGCTTGATTTAATAACGAAAATGTTTGAAGGGTGGTGTGGAACTTCTAATACTGTGTCGTCTTTCCACCTCAGGGTAATGGTCATAATATATTGTAATGTTCAATAGGGTTGTTACTGTATCTCAGTTGCCAAATATATTGTTGTCGTTTTTTCCTCGAGCTCCCTTAGCTCACATATTAACATGGGTTGTTCGAACTCAATCACGTACTTATCTACTGAGAAATTTTTATGTTGTAAGTGGTGGTAGGTTCTTGCACTACATATGTTGTTTTATTTTGTATCAAGTAGTGAGTTAACTTTTTTTTTTATCGCATTAGCATAAGCATTCTTGACTTAATAGCAACTGGCTTGACTCTTCTATCCTGTGGAATGTTCTTGTACTAAAAACCACGTTTCACTAACTAGAGCCACTCGATGAACCATATAAATCCATACCACCGTTAAAATCCAGTACATCAGTTTTCGCTCCAAAATCATGGCTTCTCCTCTGATACTCAATGTTGAATCTTTGAGGTAATGATTATTCATCAATGGAAATTGCTTCGTGGAAGAGATTTATTTTTTCCTCTTAAGATGATGAGTTAGTCTCGTGGCTATGAGTGATCTCACCGAATTGTTTCTTTTCAAATGTGACAAGCTTCTGTTGTAGTTGAAAGATTTCTCGCTACATATCCTCCTTAGTAAGCTCTTGGATAAATTTCTGAGGATTTCTTGTTGTCAGCATTATGTCCTTTTCTCCTCATTAGGTTTTTGACAGTCATAGAATTACAAATTAAGGTTGGTTGGTGGTTTAAGTTTTGGTAGTAGGTGTCAGGATGAATTTTTTTGTAAAGTTATAAATGTTGGATTTTTAAAATTAAAGATAAAAACTAGGAATTCCAGCATAAATGATTCAGGTGTGGTGGAGAATAATCTTCTTAAAAATTTTAGATTTGGGGCAAAAGATACAAATCCCTAAATATTAGAATTTTCGAACTCTGATGCTAAATGATACCAGTCTATGGCTTATAAAAAATGTTTAGAAAGTTGGTTTTGTTGAGGGTGACGTTAAAGTTATAAATGTTGGATTTTTAAAATTAAAGGTCAAAACTAGGAATTCCAGCATAAATGATTCAGGTATGGTGGAGAATAATTTTCTTAAAAATTTTAGATTTGGGGCAAAAGAGACAAATCCCTAAATATTAGAATTTTTCGGACCCTGAGACTAAATGATACCAGTCCATGGCTTATAAAAATGTTTAGAAAGTTGGTTTTGTTGAGGGTGACTTTGGAGTAGTTGATGATGCTTGAATGATAATAAACGATGTTCGTTGACTATCCCAACTGAAAACAAATGGGCCAAATGGCGAAAAGCTGAGTTGGGGCGGGTGGTGGAACCTCACTATTCGAGAATACATCACTAGTTAGAGTTGAAATTCGAGAATAAAATCTCCCAATTACATAAGAATAAATTTGTTCTCTCTAAGTAACAAAATATAAACTACGCAAGAGTTTCCCAATAAAAATAACTTAATTAGAAATTAAAATTATGAGGGAAAAAGAGAGAAGAAAATCAGATTGGAAAAAAAAAAAAATCAAGCGACATCAGTGGTTCGACATTTTGTGATCACAAAAAATCATGATTCAGAGGGATTTCACATTCCGACAATCGCAAAACCGCAAGACTTTTGATCCCGCTATCACGATAATGCGAAAATCCGTGGTTTTGCAGCTCCCTCCTCATTATAGATATTTCATTGATTTTAATAGGTGTATAAACGAGTAAAATTTGAGCTCGAACTCAAGTTTAATCTTGCAAGCCGATTCACGAGCTAATTCATTTATTATGAAAGAAATAAAATAATATTAATTCAAGTTTAAACATATAATTCTTATGTTTTTACATTTCTCACATCTAAATATTTGTATTTGCATATATAATACTTTGAACTTATGAAAATGATAATAGTGCTATTTTTGAAGTTTTATTAAATATTTGAGTGTAATGTGTGTAAATATGAAAAGTTTATATATGAGACATGTAAATATGTAAGGAAAGTGTGGTTGGCATATAAATGTCCCTAAATATTATTGCTCATATATATATATAGATAAATTGAATTCACATAAAATTAAAGCCCTTTATCTAATATTTTGGATCATTTACATACATACCGCATAATTTTTATGTATTTATATATCTCAGACTAACACTTCTATATTTTCGAGTAACACACAAATCTTTAATATTACAATAAAAATAACATTATTAATGACTTACAAAAAAAATGAAATGCATCATTTTATTCCTCAAAAGTACTATAAATTTAAATATAAAATTTTGAGGTACAGAAATGCAAATAAGTTAAAAGTGTGTGGCGTGCATGAATATTTCCTTAATATTTTTGCGGGATTTTCTTGAAAAGCATCCAAACCCTTCGACTTTCCTCACTCAGCCCACACTCGTCCCCTTTTCCCCCCGCTCACCTCACCGGAAGATGGCCGGCAAGCCTCTCAATCTAGACTGGAGCCAAATTCTTCCGGCGGAGGAAGCTGCCGCGCCGCCGTTGGAGTTGGAGGTGGTCCCCACCACGGTGAATCCCTCCTCAACCTCTGCGCAAGACTCGTCGTCATTTTCGATCGAGCATCTCCTCAGCGATGTTGAGCTTGAGGAGAAGATACTTCGAATGACCAAGTCTTTAGAATCGGGCATGGCGAATAAACTGGCCGATAAGGGGCAGAAGTTCCAGGCGAACCTTCGGGCTTGTCAGATGGAGCTTGACCGGAGAAAAGCCAACCAAACTCAGAAGGCATGCTTAAGTCAGACTCAAAGAAATGTGAGTTAAGTTGTACCCGACAAAAGTTTCTACAGCGTTTTCATTTATATAGAAAAATTACTTCTGTCGGAGATACAATCAGAAGTGTGGATTGAGAGATCCTTTGTTACTGATGGGAGATGCTTTATTAATGATGGGTTTTAAATTATGTGTGAATTGATGTGTTGTGAATGTGGTTGATTAGGTATTGTTTGGTAATCTCACCGGTTGAGTTCATTCGCAAGCTGTAAAGACAGACGAGGTTTTCCACTTTCTAGAATGTCTTTTACATAGTTGTTATTGAATTTGATTGGTGTTTGTTGGAAATGGGTTTGATGCTAGGCTTCATATTCCCAGATGAAAGTTTCCAAAAATTTTCATAGTCTAGAAAAAGGCCTTTTTTGGGAAATTCAATGAGAGTGTGGATTGAGAAATCCTTTTTCTCAAGGCATGGATGGGAGATGCTTCATCCATAACGCCGTTGCCTCATTTGTGGATTGATGTGTCCGGAATGGGGGTGACTTGGTAATGCTTGGTTTCTTTGTTTGGAGATTTACATATATACCACACAATTCTTATGTATTTACATATCTAATGTCAAAATTTTGATATTTACACTTCTAGTACCTCAGTGTCATAATAAACCTTTGCTAAAAGGGGTGTATATCACTTTTAGGGGGTGTTTGGTACGATACTTTTAATAAGATTTAAGTTAGATTTAACTTAAATCCAACCAAATACCATAAATATGGTAGATAAATCTGGTGTTAAGTTAAATCCAAGTTTTGCTTGTTCCGTTAATTAAATCCGGATCTACTAAATCTACTTGTTAGTTGGATTTAGCTGATTTAGCACATAAAAAAAAATATTTCAAATAGATTTATGCCAAATACCTCAAATGGGTTTAATTGGATTTAACCTTAATTGAACCAAATATTATTTCAGATTTAAATATATTTAGATTTAGTAAATCCAGATTTACCGGATTTACTCTATCCTATTTAACTTAAATCCTCCTCCTTGCAGCCAAAATCCCCCTTAAAAAGATAGTGATGGTGGTATTATTGATGTAATGATAAAGATTTGATGTTATGCATGTAAATATGAATGTTTAGATGTTATATATAAATACATATGTATTGTATGTTATGTATATAAGTGGTCCTTTATTTTTTTGTATGGTTAATCTGATTAACAGAGCTCATTTGAGAGTTGCGGTCATGGATTGGTGTTGCTAGAGTGTTTTATGTTTTATTGAAATTTTCTTTTAAGGATCTCGAATAGCAATTTGGGCTTGAGGAATACCTTAACTGGATTCTTTTATGGAAGATTTTCATGCATACTGCTAAAATCGTGTGTTTACATATCCGACACCTAAAATTCAACTTGTACATGTATGTCACCTTACCTATGCATGAAAAGGTGTATTGTTTACATATCCGACACCTAAAATTCAATTTGTACATGTATGTCACCTTACCTATGCATGAAAAAGTGTATTTCACTATTACAAAGTTAAAATTGTGGTTTTCTTGATGTGATATAAAAGATTTGAGTTGTATAAATGTAAAAAAGCAAAGTATAGGTGTTAGATATGTAAATACATAAGAATTTGGTTGTATTCATGTAATGCCTTTTGTTTTATTTGATTGATTGTTGTTGGAAATGTGGTAAAAATGTTGCTTTTTGTGGGTCTTTGTCCAATGCGAAGGATAAATTGATTAAGTGATGCTTGGAATTTTGTCTCAGACGACAGTTTCTGGTTGTTTGTTCAGAGATACTATGAGAAGTTTTTGTCTAGAAATCCCTTGTCTCAAGCATTGATGGATGATATCTCATCAACAGTGCATTGATCTCATTGCTGATGACAGAGTGACTTTTATCTTTCATTAATAGTTAGGGGCATTTACCTACATACCACATAAATCTTATGTATTTACATATCTAACAACTAAACATTCATATTTACATGCATACTACTCAAATCCTTAATATCACATAAAAAATAAGATCATCACTTTTTTTTAAAAGAGATGTACATCTTTTCATGCAAAAGTTTATGATACGAAGGTGTTGTAAGTGTAAATATCAAACTTTAGGTGTTAGATATGTAAATACATAAGAATTGTGTGGTATATACGTTAATTTTCCTAGTAGTTATGAGAAGTTTGTATTCAATCTACTATAACTGACACAGTTAGTCCTTTATCAGACTGCTGAAAAATGTGAGACAGCTACAGATTCCAAAGCTACAGAACCTAGTGGTAAGTTTTTATCTTCATTTTCGCTTCCATTTTGCAATAAATTAACATGTATTCTGTAATTATCTGTTTCAGCTATGTTTTGCTAGTGCAGCTCTTCATTCTTGTAATGTTGAAATATCATTTTTTTCCTTGTGAAAATTCACTGCTTAGAGCGTGACCTGTTGTGGATTTGTTTGTATGCAGTTTCCTAACACTCATTCTCATCACACCTCACTGTGTTAGACTAAGACAAATCTATGTAACTAGGATGGTTTTGCACAAGTCAATGGTCAAGTGGCTTGTTTGCAATTTTCTTAAGTATGGTTGGTATTAGCAACTTGATACTACTCAGGTTTCTGTAACTGATATTTTTTGCAACTAAGCTTTGTGTTTTTTTTTTTAATTTATCAGATTTGCTTATTTGCTTGTCATTTTTATCTGAGGTTGATGATGCTCTCACTTGCAGTCTCAGCAAGCAAATCCCGTGCTATTGCTCCATCAGAATGCAATTCAGGGTCTTCTTTTTTCTCCCTGTTTAATCAGGCTTTGGAGAAAAGGGTAATTCATCAATAGTGTCGTTAAAGGCTTACAGTTTAGACATCTTTGGAAGACTTACATTTTCTTTCATCAGGCAGGTTCTCTGTATAGAAGCAAGATTTCAAGTGGCAATTCATGCCAGATTGATACAGGAACGAATTTGTGCCATATTTCTTCTGAAGCTACTAAAGCATCTTTGAGAAGGGCAACTTTCCCACCGAAAGACAAGGTTTCCTCTACGGAGAAAAAAAAATCTTCCAATGAAAATTGCAAAAGTATAAAAACTTCCAGTTTTTATGCCCCATGTACAGGAAGAAGAGGTTCTAAGAGGTAACTACTTGCTTTATAATCATCATTCTATTTGCCTTTTAACCATGCTTTAGCAAAACTGCTTAAGTTTGCATGTGTACCATGGGTGTATATCTCTGAACTTAATATTGCTATGATAACTGTATTCAATTTAACTAAATTCGACATGAATTAGATGGAAATGAAGTGAAATTTCGGAATGCTTCCCAAGCCTCCATATCAAGGTTGATGTTTTACTAATTTCTAACTAAATCATATCTTAGATATATTTGTTGAGTCAATATAGTTAGAGGCTATTGAATTAAAATGTTGTAAAGTCTGATTTGTTTTAACATTTTTAGGCGAGCGAAGTTTCAAAATAGCTTCTTGACTATTAACACAAGACTATTTTAGCCCCAGAGTCTATAAGAATTTAAATGCAAATGAACATGCAAAGAGTCCACATTATTCGATCGAAGTAAGAAACATTCACAACGGGCTCCATAAGACAAAACACGTCATGCAAATGAATGTAAGGATGCTTACATGTAGCATGACACACACAAACAGGATGTGTTGGTAAAACATGCTATCTATAAAGAGGAATTACGCTTGCCCGGGAAGCCTTGAGTGCCATGCAGCAAGAAAACACCAATTACAAGTAAATTTGCATCGAGTAAAAGAATACATATGAAGAGAACTTGCTCGTTACATGAGACACTTACTGAGCACACATGCAAACATGCAAAATGTGCAATAGACATGAGAAAAGTGGTGAGTGTGCCGTAGAGACAACGACTCGAGAAGACGGGTATATCGTGGAGGTAATGACACGAAAGGATGAGGTATGTCGTGGAGGCAGAACCGGAAAGACGGGTATGTCGTGGAGGCAGTGACTTGAAAGATGAGTATACCATGGAGGCAGTGACCCTAAAGTTGGACATGTCTTGGAGACAACGACTCAAAAGATGTGTATGTCGTGGAGGCAGTGACCCTAAAGGGTAGGCATGCCGTGGAGGCAGCGGCCCGAAATGGTGGGCATGCCGTGGAGGCAACGACCTTAAATATGGGTATGTCGTGGAGGCAGTGCCTCGAAATGTTGGGCGTACAGTGGAGGCCGCGGCCCAAGGAATATGATTATTACTGGAGAGAATCATACAAGTGGGGTGAGTGTTGAGATGAACATTCAAACTGCAACTTGATCATGCGAAAACATCGTGCATGCAAAACTAATGCACATGCAAAAAATATACTATGCGAATGATCGGTCGACTGGGCCGGGGTGGCTAGTTGAGACAACATGCTATGTCGATCGGGCGGAGTGGCCTGTCGAGGCAATGTGCAGGTGCAACATGCTTCATGCAAAACACATATTATGACATAATACGTCATGTAATGCGCGTGATCACGATCAATAGCAAACCACACTCATCTAACATTTTCACATAAACACCTAGGGTTTAGCTCTTGGATACGCGACAAGTTTGCCTCCAGCTTTGGCGAGGAAATGTGGAGAACTTCGCACTCTGGTTTGTCAAAGGAGAAGTCCTTCACCGTTTGTAGGTAGACTAGCTACAAAGTTTTTTCCGCCCTATGAATCTTCTAAGATATTGTAGAATGAGCTAACTACAAAATTTTTTTCATTTTTCAGGATTGAACTATCCCAACCCCTCTAAGGAAGGTTGGAAAAACTAAAGTTGTGGGAAATTGGGATTCCAACACACTAGAATTTAGGTCTATGGTTTATAATGGGGGACCACTTCGTTTCGCGAAGGGATTTGGCCATGCATGTGATTCCGAACTTAGGGCTTCCTCTAGGAAAATAAATGACCAATCAATAGGCTATGGTCATGTTGACTGGTGTCGGCCGACCACTCGCCTAGCCGTTGGGCGGCCAGAAAAACCCTCAACGACTCATAGGGTTAGCTAAGAAAGAAAACACATGGGTTTAGGGGGTTATACTATTGCGGTGGTTGTGGATGCATTTCTTCAAGTGTGATGAAGCTCTTCTAAGGGTAGGAGAGAAGCCTACACTTCTTTCCCCAAAAAAATTGAGGAAACTCTCATTGTAGGAGAGATCGACAGAGTTTTGCCTCTACCGACGGAGTATGATGCTCTCCTTCCAAATGAGAGCTTGTGAGCTCATCAGAGCCTCCCTTTCCCTAACTTAGGATGAAGCTGTCCTAGCCGTACTCTCCAGAAAGTTCGTCGAAGAAGAACGAGGTCGCCGTAGAAGAAGAAGAACAGTGAAGAAGAAGAAGTTGGAAGATGACCAACTTCTTAGCTCTCTCCTTGAGGAAGATTAAGAGTCTTTCTCAATTCCTTTGCTCCAAGAGGATGAAGCCTCTTGAGGAAGAAGATGATGTTTTTCCTCTAGCACTCTCAAGCTTTCCAAATGCTTTTCACTTCAAGCGTTTTCCTTAACTCCCAAGAGGAAACCCTAGCTCGAAGGGAAGAAGACGACCCAAGGGAGAAGGAGAGTTCTTAGCCCTCCCTCCTCACTAAATTGCCAAAAATAGCATGCTCCATCCTCTTAGAACCTTCCAAAAGGAGGCTAAAAAGGTCCCATTCACCAGCTTCTGCTTCTATCGAGGCATTTCTCCACACAAACCAAAAAGTCTACACTTTTTGACTTCCTAGGGAGTTGTGCTAGGTGAGAAATCCAAGAAAATATGGAGAAAATGGCTTGGGGGCTAGTGCCTAGACTCCAGCAGGCCGACGTCTACTTTCCAGGATCTCAGGTTTGAAAACAGCACATTTCGGGTTGCTCCGGGCGCCTTCTTTCCAGGGGTTAGCGCCTAGATGCTGTGGTTTGGTGCCTATTTCCCAGGCTCTTAGTTTGGAGAGTCTGGGGGCTGTTCTGTGCTCCAGGGGTCGGCGCTAAGGTGCCGGTTTGGTCCGAAAACTCTGATTCTCACCGGAAATGTTTGATGAAGGATTTTCTTAACCCGATAGCTATGGGAGACCACATACGAGTGAATTATGGTCCCCTTACTTAAAAAAATATATATTTTTTATCGGTCGTTTATTGGGAAAATCGTCACTAACGATTGCCTGGATCACGGTGCGGGTAGGGTGTTCCAAACCTTTATTCTTACCTGATCGATCGTAGAAAGATCCCCGTTGATCTGGAAGCCACAGAACGTCGCACATTGCTAGAATACAACCCCATAACTCAGAAATGAACATTTTAAGAGTTTGAGGTGTCGACGAGCTAAAATTGGTTCGAACCTGAATTTCTGCAAAATATGCGTGGGGTATCCTCATGGCTATCCTTCGCCTCAGAAGAGTCCAAATTGATTGATTTGGGTCTCTCAACATCAGAACAAACGTAAAACATGTCTGGAGTCAATGCTAAACCATCTTTATGTTGAATTTTCTCGGGTAGGGTCAAGTCAGTATCAGTTTTGATACCACGCTTGGGACACGTACCAGGAGGTCTGATTGCATGTCTTGGACGACGGGAAGCTGGAAACGTCCTGTTTAAATAGACCCCCCACCCAATAGTCACCACTATCAATCTTCTTTTGTTAGCCCATTAACAACAATATATCTCTTATCTCTTTAAAAAATTATCATCTTCAGCTGTCTTATGCGTGAGCCACATCCCCAAATTCCTCGACTGAAGCTCATTCCACCCATGAGTTGGGGGTTGAGTTTCCTTCCTAACTCATATTGATTTGCGTTCTCTCAAAATTTTGGCTTACCCTAAGAAGCTCGCTCATTCCCATAGACTCCTGAATCTTTTCTTGTTCGGAAGGTTCCTATAGCAAAAAATAGTGTTGCAATTGCTTGCAACCCTTTGTTGGGGTCCCACTCACGGTGCTTCCCTGTTATAGACTCTGAGATATTTTGAATCAATCTTCTCCAGCCTCAAATTGCACTATCTCATTCTGTCTCCCTCTTTCCAACCTCCACATGTCGTGTAATTCCCTCCAAATGTTGCCTCTCAAATCTGCCCTCGACTTCTTTGCATGATCCCATTGCTTCTGTTTGTTCTAGTCATTTAGATGCCGTGCTATTCCTTTCAAGTCCTGTCTCTAGGTCGCTCCTGATTCCTCTGAATGATCTCGTAGCTCTAGATCTGCCTAAGTTAGAAACATTGCTTTAATGCGACACACATTCTTCACATTATTGCTGCTCACATTCACTCCAGACACCGTTGCTCGATTTTGCAGCGACCCGACTGGTGGTGGCGGGTTTGCGTAAAGCTCAATTATTTATTTCATCATTTATTCTAAGACCATGAATCTCCCCTCAATAGATGAGAATTGATCATTCATTATCAAGAAACACCTCTTCATTTCAGATTTGATTTGGCTCACCTCTCCCTCTAATTTATCTTCCAAAGTGTTTTTTTGTTGTTGTCATTACTCCCAAGACGGTTTTTGATCATGAAGGTGGAAATCTTGTACGTTGTGATTTTGTTGTTGGCTTCCCAGCTAGCTCGAATTAAGGTTGTATTGCTAGCTTAAGTCATGATGGAGACATGCAACTGTGAAATCGCGATGGGAAGGGGAGGATGTTGGTCGATTAGTTCAGTTGTGGTATGCGGAACTTATGTACGCCGCAATCTTGTCATTGGTTTCTCAGCTAGGTCGCGACTGTATCGTGAGGTTTGGTTAGGTGGCATGAAATTTTTGTACGCCGCAATCCTGATCACAAGTTTCAGTCACGAAGGCGGCATGAAATTCTTGTGGCCACGATCTCATCGTTGGCTTTCTAAAAATTTCGAATGTTATGATATCAATTTGATTGGAAAGAGACAGCTTCCGCAGATATTAGGGAAAATACAATATTTTACTTCAATACAAAACTGCACAACTCAAATAAATAAAAGATAAACGCCTATAATTTAAGAGGTAGGCGATCTCTTCCAAATTCTAATCCTAGATTTAAAATAACAATCACACATCTAACCTAGCTCTAAACATATTAAACTTTATTTATATCCCACAATGATAGCTAAAAAATGACTACATTGTCATTTGAAGCTTACCCCTAACATAAGTCTTCAAACTATTTTGGCGAGCTTGACATCT